AGTAAAGGCAAGAATAGTTAGCATTACAAGTTCTAGACAGGGAACCAGAAAAAAGTCAGAGCAGGTCAATTTTCCAATGTTCTTAATCATCTTTATATCCCTCTTCCCCACTGGCACCCTCCCGTAGTACCCCCACTGGAGCCCATATACTCTGTCATCCCTGTTAAGGCCCACTGTGTCAAGTCCATGTCCCCAGCCACTCCACAGTGCAAGTCCATCTGCTGAGGTCTAGTCAGCATATCTAGAGTCCCTTGTTCTAGGAAGATCAGCTCTTCTTCACCTAGCAGCAATCACCTAGTTACCAATATTTCTTCAGCTAAGATTGGGGTCTGCTGTTCATTTTCCCAGCTCTATGCTGGGTTACTGTCTGCCTGAGTTTGCATGGGACTTGTATGGGACTTGTGTATGCTGACACCACTGCCATATGAGCAGGTTCCCAGGACCTTGTAGGACTCTGTTTCCATATGGTCGCGCACCTCCTCCCTGGCTCTTCCAATCTTTCCACCCCCTCTCCCAAAATGGTCCCTGAGCCCTGGGTGAGTGTAGTGTAATATGGGAGTCCTGTCCAAGGACCAGCATTCTGCAGACTCTTGATCTCTACACTTTGGCCATTTGTGACCTTTTGTGTTCCTGGTTCTCTGTTGTATGAGGGAGCTTCATTGATGAGAACTGAGAGATTCATTAGTGTCCTCTTCTTGACCAAGATATTTTAATTTAAAAAAGTGAATCTTTATAAGAATCCACTTATAATTTTATTTTCTTCCATAGAGGAATTTTGAGATAGTCTAGTTTGGTCTTGTTTCTATGTAGGAACTTAGACATAGTATAGTCTGGTTTCTGTGAGGACAGCATGAAGCTTATAAAACTGTAATTTCAAGAAAGTTTGACCTTGGTGGTATATGTTCACATGTTAAGTGCTCCAAATTAATATTTCTAAAGACAGAGAAGTAGAAATTGAAATATATTTGGTGTCTTGCCCTTCCATGAGAAATGCTCCCCTGGTCACAATTCTTGAATGTAGTCAAGTATCAACATTCCTGTTATAGTTAGAAAACCCTCTAAATCTTATCTGTGTGTACATATGTATCATCACACATACATACATATCTACCTGAGGCCTCTGATGATGCCAACCTCTGTGCCCATGTGCATCCTTATGGACATGTTTATCTATATCCACACATGTATCTAAGTAGTATCTACATCTGTATCAGCAGATACATCTATCATATCTGTGTCCATATCTGTGTCCACACATGTCCATATGAACATCTATATCTAAAGTACATCTGTGTCACACCTATACCCACATCTGCATTAATAGCTCTAACCAGCACCTCTGTGTCAGCAACTGTGCTAGTATCTACACCGAAGCCCCTGGCAGCATCTGTCTCTATCTGATCTTATTTAGTTAAGCATTTATTTTTGATGATCCTCCCTTCTTCATTTTTACAGCTGCCTTTGTCTGCTAATTTTTTCTCTAAAAGTTCAAAGTTAGATATATGAGATAATATTTTAATATTTTTATTTAGCTCTTTGATGTCTAAACTCCCAGGAGAGATTCTTTTTGCCACAGTTAAATCCGACTGTCTCCCGCCCTCCTTTCTCAGGAGTGCAGATGAATTTCCATACCTTCCACCTGGAGAGTTCCCACGACTACTTACTGATCACAGAGGACGGTAGTTTCTCAGAGCCCGTGGCCAGGCTCACTGGATCCGTCTTGCCTCACACCATTAAGGCTGGTTTGTTTGGAAATTTTACCGCCCAGCTCCGGTTCATCTCTGACTTCTCCATCTCCTATGAGGGCTTCAACATCACGTTTGCAGGTACGTTAGTCCTTCGCTGTTTCTGTCCTTTGCTAGTAATATTCTCTCTCTCTCTCTCTCTCTCTCTCTCTCTCTCTCTCTCTCCCTCTCTCCTCTCTCCTCTCTCTCTCTCTCAACTGCCAATCCATAGGGTGTGTAGGCTGATCCTTACAATGCTGAGTGCCTGGATGTATTTCTGGAAATGGGTGTGACATTTAGTCTTGCCCTATTTGTAAATTCTCTTCCTTAGGAAACAATAAAAATATTTTCTCTTTTTAAAAAAATTTTTACAAAAACTTTATTGAGAATTTCATACATGCATGTAAGGTGTTTTGATCAAATCCATGCCCACTCCCTCCCCTCCAACATTCCCCCCTCTGAAGAGGTAACCCTAAAATCTTTTAAGGATTAGATACAAGCTCCCAAATACTTCTGACATTTTTGCCTTTGGAACAGAGTATGTTGCTAACAGGACCAAGGACATTTTGACTTTTAGCTAAGAAAATGGCTACTTTTCTTTGGGGTCTTTTTACCCTAACTGCCTAGCCAGTTCCTACCTCCTATTCTCATCACACCATCCTCTGAAGAGGTTACCAAAATTGCTGATAGGGAATCAGGACACAGACATCTCTGTCTTCTTCCATGCTGAACAGGGACACAGGGTGAGGCAATTGGAGTACCCCTTCAGTGGGTCTATCTAAAAGACTCCCAAATTGCATAGCTCTTAAACAATAAAACTCTTTTCCCTGAAAAGATTTCCTTGCTCACTTCTCTTCCATTACAACAGCTCCTAGCAACTGTCCCCGTATCCACGTGTGAGATGTGCTGATGTTGACATTGCTGATGTCCCCACCCCCTCAATGAAGAATGTCTTATATACACATAGTCCAGTATAGGCTGTTAGCTCCTTTAACATAATCACACATGGTGACAGAATGGTGACAGTGAAAGTAAAATTTTCATTTTTAACTGCAGTCTTGGTAATACCTGTGTAGGATATCTGTTGCCTTAGACTTTATTTGCATAGGTAAGATGGGGTAGTTTTTCACTGGTAGTTTTATTTTTACAGATATGGAAAGTGATACTGATTAAATGTGCACTATAAATCTGATCATTAAACAGTACTCAGACAGAGTGCTCCTCATCATCACCCCCCACCTCCCTCAGTTCCTTACTGACAGGAAGTGACTTCACTAATGGACAGGAACAGATACAGTCACTTGTGCTGACATACCTGACATCCTGACAAAAACTCCCACGTCATTCTTCAAAGCTCAGAGGCAATATAATTTCATACTATGGTCTATAAGTACCTTAACCATGTGTGATTTCCTCTACCTTTAAGACCTCTTAAATACTAAATTTCTTACAAACTACCAGTGGTAATTATAAGATTAGTTATAATATTTGAGATCTCCTCTTACTTCCTGTACTAAACAAATCTGTTGATAGGCAGTTTCTGCTCATTCTCTTTACCAGCAGCTCCACGCATGCATCCTTCACGTAATGGGATCTCCCTTCCTACCTCACGAGTCAGGACTGTTACAACATCTAAACTGGAACACTGTCTCTTACAGTATTCCTTATGAGGATTTCTGTAATTCAAGAAAGGCCCATTTATTTTAATTTGACTTTGTTGATTTTTTCCCTGCTCTTTCTCAGCACAAGAGTGCCTTCCAGGACTGGCTTGAACATTTGATTTCTTGGAAATGTATTATAGTCAGCAGTAATGATGAAATTGGCCACTTTATCAATCAAAGCTTCCTGCTTGCTCACGCTATTGTGTGAGTCTCTTCTCTACAGCTTTCCCGGGGGAGCTTTCAGGATCACTGTGAGACTGTGACTCCCCTGAGCGTGTGCCCGTGTCCAGATCCAGAATGAGTCTAAGCAGAGTACTCTCGGGGAAGAGATAGCAGTGAGGGGAGCCTGTGGCCGCCTTCCGTGGATCGTCCCCGCAATTTTCACTCATTCTCCGCCACCTGTTTCTTAATTCTGTTGCTCTGGGCACGTGGCTGACAGTAAGATCTCTGGATTTCTGCCCTGGTCCCTCTGTGCTGCTGTAACTGAGGAGGAGCAGAAATCTACCTCTCATAGTTCTGGTGGCAGGGAAATCCCAGATCAAGGCTCTGGCATCTAGTGAGGAGGCTTCTGAGGGCTGTAGCGACGGCTCAGAGGATAAGAGCATGTACTGTTCTGCAGAGGACCTGTGTTCAATTCCCAGCACCCACATCAGATGCATAAGAATCACATGTAATTGCAGCTCTGGAAACACGACACCGCTGGCCTCTGTGCGCACCTGTATTTGCATGTACATACCTCATGTGCACATACATACGCATGTGGCAGAAAGGAAGAGAGGCCAGTGCCTGCTTATTCGTGTCATGCAGTGCATGGTTAAACCCCTTTCAGTATGGTTGTGTCCAAAACCACATCCCGCAGTCGTATTTCCAAGACATGAGCTTTGGGCGAGCACTTCAGACCATGGAAGTTGCTGAACTTCCAGCTGATCGTCTCTATTACGGCCTCATTCAAAGGAGCCACCACAAGGTATGGAGCAGGAAGCCTCCTTTCTGGAGATCTGTAGTTCTCAGGTTGCAGCCTTGGTATTTCTGAATGAGAACAGCAGAGTAGCATAAACATGCAGTCTCAGAACCCAGGAGGCTGAGGCAGGAGACAATCTGCAAGTTCCAGGCCAGGCTGATCAGCATGTAGCAAATTCCAGTCCAGCTAGAGCTCAGAAGACTGTCTAAAAAGTAATAAAAAGAAATTCTTGATGCTGAATTGTAACTGAAGTGCCATCATTTGTGAACATAAACAACAGCGTCACACAACCAATGGGAAATCCCTCTGAAAGCTCCAGGAGGGGAGCAAGTCTACCAGGATATTGTCCTTGCTGTCTGCAACACTCTGGAGACATTCTAAAGAAATGTTTTTATTTGAAACCAGGGAACAATCACTAGTGAGACTGACATATTCGTGTTTATTTTAAGAGCTCTTGTAAGTAGCACATTTGCTATACAGACAAAGCTCTTACAGTTCTCTGGACTTGCTGACCCTCACTCTGATCTTGCCTTTGTCCCTTTCAGTCCTGTCAGCCTCTGTCCTTTCAGAAGGCTTAGCTGAAGCACTTCTGTCCTGAGCCCCCTCAGAGCACCAGTAGCTGCCGATAGCATCCCTGTGGAAAGGAGCCTTGACTCAAAGCATCTCCCAATTCTGCACTGGGTGTCACTTCTAATCCCCATAGCATCCTTCCGAGGACACCCCATGTTTCTCTGGCTCTTCTTCTGGAAAGCCAACTCAGCCAATCCATAGACTTCCCAATCGCTCTTCAAAAGATGTGAGCTTGGACCACTCACTGCCTTTTCACACCTAGGTTTCATGTGGGGATGTCTTTTCCTCTGACTTCAGCAGGCCCAGTCTTCCACCCAGCTCACACACTGCCCACTGTGCACAGCCCTGTGTCTCTTTAAGCAAAGTGTCCCCCTAACAACATCTCTACAGTGCCTCAGTTCATTTCCTGATCCTATAAAAACCTGAGACTAGCTAAGTCCCAAACCACAGAAGTCCCTTAGGACATGGTTTGGAAGACTAGAAGTCTAAGCTCATGGTCTTGTTCCTGAAGAGGAACTGTGTCAGCCCACAGCGTAAGGCAGGGCAGCAGTAGGAGGAAGAGCTGCTGAGCACATCCTGTCTGTGGTGTGAGGCTGGTTGGCGGGAGGGCGGTGGGATGGAGAAGCTCAGATGAGCATGTCCTTTGTATGAGGCGACCACTGCAGCAATGGCAACGCTAATCCGTGTTTCTTTCATGGGGCAGAACCCTCCGCACCACTCGTCTCTTACAGCTCCTTCTCCCTGGTTTTGTTAGAATGGCAACTGAGTTCCAACCTGGCTTTGAAAGACAGATTCAAATCATATCACATGAAAAAGTGCAGATTTTGACATTGCTCACCTCCTTCCCTCTCCCCTGCATTTCTGGAGGGAAGGGTGTCTGTCTCCATTGTTGAACCTTTAGTACTGGGCACAGAGAAGAGCTCATTCACTCCTTCATTGGACTCCATCATCAAGAGCTTCCTGAGATACTGCCTGGTGCACGGTGCCCGGCAGTTTTCCTGGCCATGAGATGCAGGTATGCATCAAGAAAAAAGTGGCCTTCACAGAGCCTGGTTCCCACACTCCACATAAGGCAGGCCCTGTAACACATCTTTATGTAGATGGAAAACCTAAGATAATGAATGAAGATAAAATAAGAAAGTTAACTTCCAAGGACAGCCTTTCAATTGGAGGAAGGTGGAATCTTGAGGTTAATGGATTTCTCTTGTGTTTTCAAATTAACGGAAATGTTAAGTATGGGTCTTAAAGTGGTGACTACATAGCATGGATTAGGGTTTGTATGTGCATAAAGTGATGGGCTCATTTCGCCATGGTACAAGAGCAGATCTTCCCTGTTCCAGTAGGTATAGTTGGAGAATACCATCTAAAGTACAAAATAAGGGGCTGGAGAGATGGCTCAGTGGTTAAGAACACTTGCTGCTCTTATAGAGGACCCAGGTTCAGTTCCCAGCATCTACATATTGACTAACATCAGTCTGTCTTTAACTCAGGGGGTTCAGCGCCCTTGTTTGACCTCTGTGGGTACTCCACAAGTGTACATACACAGACACACAGACACACAGGTATACACATAAATAAAAATAGAATAAATCTTTTGAAAAAGCTGTAAACTGAAATGTATGCCAATTGGATTATCTTCAGATTGTAGGGTGTCTTTTACACAGTGTGGTAGGTACAACAGAGAATATTATTACCCTTTGGGAGAAATATTTTAAATTATTTTTTTAAATGAAAGAAATATTTTGTTTTCACTGAGTATGCAGTGAACACTCACACAGAAGGAACTTGCTATCAGCAAGAAACAAGACGACCTTTGCTGGTGGTGATGCCTTTGAGTATTTCCTAAATAGTCTATCACTGTGATTTGTATATGACAGGTTTTCAATAAATATTTCCTAAATCCGATTGACTGATGCTTTATATTTTTCTCCCTGGATAATAATAATATAATGACAAGTAAATAAGTGTGTTTCCAGAATGGTGAGATGAGTTTGGATATTTTAAAGATCCAGAGCAAAGTTTTGAGCTGAATGAACAGTAGGAAAAGGACACTGAATGTATGGACCTCCGAGGTTGACCAGTCGGCCCAGTGACATGAAGGAAGGACCTGTTGTTGACCTTTCTACAAGGACATTTAGGTAAAATTCTAAAAATCCAGTAATAAAGAAGAAAAATAATTGAATTTTCAAGAAGCTTTGAGGAGAACAGGACAGCCTGGGTATCCAGATGTTCCTACAGGATGAGCCTGAAATTTAGAACTGGGAGCATCAGAGGTGGAACTGGAGAGGAGAATGTTAGGGCAACATTCCTTGGGAAGGTAAGCTGAGGCTTCTCCTTGATGACCTCTCACTCTGGAGAAATGATCTCTGTCTTCCCAAGAGTTGGCGATAAAGCTCATTCTGTAGTAAATTTATCAGTGTCTTCTGTCATGATTAGTTTTCATTATTGACGTGACACAACTTAGAGTCACTTGGGAGGAAAGACCCTCACCCGAGGAATCTCCTAGATCACTCTGACGATGGGCGTGTCTGTGAAGTGCTGTCTTTTCTGATATAGGAGGGCCCAGCCACTGTGGACACTACCCTTCCTAGGCAAGTAGTCCTGAAAGCTAGTGCCTGAGCCAGTGCACAGCACTCTTCCATGGTGTCTACATTCGTTCGTGTTTGCCTCCCTCCTCTGACCTCCCTCAGTGATGGTTGCCACCTGGAAGTGTGAGTCAGATGCACCCGTTCCTTCCCTAAGCTGCCTTTGTCAAAGTGTTTTGCCACAATAACAGAATGGAACTTAGAACAGAAATTGGTACCAGGAGTGGGGCATGGCTGAAATGAACTTGCCCAATGTGGCTTTTTATGACTTTGGACCATTTTGCTAAGGATTGTGAAGGATTTGGGACCTTTGAGCTGGAAAAGCCATTGAGCGTTCAAAGCTTAATGGACTACTGTGGTGAAAGCTTTCAGGTTAAGAATGCTGGGAGGCGGTGGAGGTCTGGCTTGTCAAGTTTCAGAGAGAAGGAGAGATTACCCGGGGTCATTTGTGTGATGCTTTGGATGAAGAATATGTGGTTGTTGGCTGTGCTGGAGGTAAAGAATCACCAAGGATTAACAGGAAATCAGCACCACTGAAGCAAAACCTTTTGTAGTTTGCTGGAGTAATGGATGCTGATTAGCTGGGGCTGAGTATCAGCTGGTAGACCAGCATCATTGCAGTTAAATCTTCTGGGAAGTACTTCCTTGCAGTCAGTGCACTGCAACTGTGCTGCAGGTGGGGAGAGGAGGGTGTGAAACTATATCTTAAGCTGGTAGACAAACTTGGCAATGTGAAAGTCATCTACCTGGCAGTGGTTTAAAGACATGAAAGATGCAGGATTCTCATGGAGAATGGCTGAGACTTGACACCAGATGGCAGGGTTGGTGTCCCTAGAGAGAGGCCAGGAGAGGCCATTGGTGAGGGTGCAGCCTCAGTTATTGGGACCATGGGACACAAGGGCAGAGATGAAGGAGAGCCAACCCAAACCTATGACACAAGTGGTATGTGCTGTGGATGTTCAAGCAATAGAACTGGAGTTGCCCAAGCTTTTTGGAGTCCAGACGATTATGCCATGAATAAGTTCTAGATCTCAGACATGGAGCTACAGGACCAGGATTTATGTGGCAAGATTTTGGTTTTGTTAAGTGTGATTGGTTTTATGCCTCTATCTCCCTTTAGGTATAAGAAAGTGTTCAACTTGTTTTTTTTTTTTTTATTTTTATTTTACAAGAGCCCATAGTTAAGAGACTTTGGACTTTCATAGAGACATTGGTCTTTCTAAGACACTGGGATTCTTTGTAAGACTGAGAGACTTTTAGTTGTGTTTTTCTTGGACAAATAAGAGGTGAAAGGTTACAGTTGAACAGTGATACATTTGTGTCAAGCTGACAAGGGATGGAACGTCCTGGTTATATTCTGTCAACTTCACATATTCTAGAGTCACCTGGGAAGAGGGAGCCTCAGCTAAAGAATTTTCCCAATCAGACTGGCCTGTGGGTATACCTGTGAGAAACTGTCTTAACTGATGTTGATATAGGAGGGCACAGTCCATTGTGGGTGTTAGCATCCCTAGGCAAGTGGGCCTGGGATGTACATGTCAGATCAGATAGCTGAGTGTGTCAGTGAGCCATAAGGAGCATTCCTCCATGGTTTCTGCTCCAGTTCCTGCCTGACTTCCCTCAGTGATGGACTGTAACCTGTAAACGTAAGTCAAATAAATGCCCCACCACATGTTGCTCTGTGTCTGAGTGCTTTATCACAGCAACAGAAAGGGAGGTAGAAAACTCCAATGCCATTTACCTTCTAGACCCAAAGGACATCCCCCTGGGCATCTGGCTCAGTGCTACTATGATTAGACTAAACATGGGACATTTCTGACGGAACAAACACCAAGACAGAGGAGGAGAAAGGAGGAAAACAGGCATTTAGTTCATCATCTTTCTATGTCCCACTGATTCATCACAGATGGGCAGCAGGGCCAGTGACAACCAGTGTGCAGTCTGAACATAGCTGGGTCCCAAGGATCCGATGTGAGAATGAGGCTGACTTCTTTGTCACCAGTGGTGCTGTTATGAGCAGATATTCTCCACGGGAGACACAGGAGCTAACTTTATTCAGTGCTGCTTCTGGGGTGACAGAACTTTCTAGTTTCCTTAAAAGCTTCCATTGTACCGCAGTAAAACATGGTTCACAGAGAACATGTTGCAACATATCACCGTTGACTGTAGAGGCGAATCTGACCATAATGAGCTGGCTATGGTTCAGCACTTGACCCTGCTTTGCCTTGGGTCTTTGTGTTATCTAGGAAAAGTCCATTTTGGGGAAAGGAAAAGCTGGTTTTAGCAACTGTAAATATCAGAAAACTGATCTCATTGTCTCAAAGAAACAGCTTTGTAATGGCCCATCCCATTTTACCATGTTATACTGAGATGTTTGTATGCTAAAGTAGCAAGATCCATGCTGTTTATCCTAAGAGAGCCCGTGGACAAAGGAGGGGAGAGAGAGAGAGAGAGAGAGAGAGAGAGAGAGAGA